AGCTTTACTAAATTCGGACTATCAAACTGTAGGAATAGTGCATAGCGTTTTCAAAAATCATAGAAATTTATATTTGTTACAGAAACGTAGTATTGAGTGGGGGGGGGGGGGGGGGGAGGGCACCCGAAATAGGATTTTCCAGTTTGGACAATTGTTTTGCTTTCTTATTTGCTCGTCATTTTTTTTTTGTTAACCCCCCCCCCCACACTTTCATAATCATAAACGAAACTACGTGGCTGTTTTAGTAATCATGGCAACACTTTTTATCGTAATTAAAAATTTTAATTAAATCTGTAGGAAGATATAACCGTAATGAAAAATTTGTTTCATAGCCATTTTCTATTTTTTAATAACCATAGCAACACCGTTCATCTGAATTTGGAGAAAAACACTTACAGTCTTCTTCTGTAGCAAGTTACTGAAATTGAATCAGAAATATTGGAGGAATTTCGTGTTTTTTGTTGTTGTTTTTTTTAAAAATATCTACAGACAAAAATCCAGACGACGGACAATTTACCAATAACATAGCTCTTCTTTGTATACAAAATTAATAGCTGGATTTGAACTTTGGTGGACTAGAACACTTTAGCACATAAAAGGCTTTGTGATTATGTATCTTAAGCCCTGACATTGCACAAATACCTTGAAATCACCCTATATGCACCTATACTTAGATAGGCATAGAAAACCGGGGTTTTTTTACACTTCAAAAAAGAAATTTTCCACAAAAAAAAAGAGTTTAATCAAAAAAATATCTTGGGAACACTTCCTTGTTTCTAATTATGATTACATGTATATGTCTTTAAAATATCCATGTTAATGTACCATGAATCGATCAAGAGTGAAACAATTATTTTAATTAAATTATAAGAAGAATTTATGGACTTGGCACAGTTAGAATTTTTAGCAGGCGAATATCAAAGAAGATTAAAAAAAACAAGAGGCCCATGGGCCACATCGCTCACCTGAGCACTTTGGCTAGAAAAATGCAGAAATCAGTTCAGTATTGAAAAGTTTAACTATTAAAGTGGTTTCCGGGGGGGGGGGGGGGTTGAACAAACATGACTAATAATATCTTTGCTGTTCTTAAGAAGAAATTTTCATTGATTTATCCTTTATATTCCTTTGTATAACTATGATCCCAGTTTATGGCCCCTCTGTACTCCTGGGGGTCATGTTTTGATCAAATTTGAATCTACATTTCCTGCAGAGGATGTTTTTATTTTATCATGACCAATCACGGTTTTGCTGTTCTTAAGAATAAGATTTTTAAAGATTTTTCATACATTTTCCTATGTAAAACTTTGATTATCCATTGTTGCCCTACCCTACCCCTGGGGGTCAAGATTTGAACAAACTTGAATCTACACTACCTGAAGATGCTTCCATATAAATATGACCAATCATGGCTTTGCTGTTCTTGAAGACTTTTAAAGATTTTCCCTAGGTATTCCTAGGTAAAACTTTGATCGCCCACTGTGGCCCCACCCTACCCCCGGGGGTCATGATTTGAACAAACTTGAAACTACACTACCTGAGGATGCTTCCACATAAGTTTTATATTTTCTAGCACCTAAATTTTTCCCGTATTAGCAATTATCCCCCCTTGGAAGAAGACGTGGTCCTTCATTTGAACAAACTTGAATCCTCTTTACCCAAGGATACTTTGTGGCAAGTTTGGTTGAGATTGGCCCAGTGGTTCTTGAGAAAAAGATGAAAATGTGAAAAGTTTACTACGACAACGACGACGAAGACAATTTCGATCAGAAAAGATAAAAAAGAGAAAAGACTAAATACGTATGAATTAGTTTTTAATTCACTTGTGCTGTACATTAGCGCATGAGCTTTCTGATCACCTGTTATCTGATGTTCGGCCATTTGTCTGTCCGTTCGTCTGTAACGTACCTTTACACATTTTGAACTCTCTAGAATCACTGGGACGATTTCAATAAACTTGACACAGAACATTGTTGGATAAGGCGGTTTGATCTTCAGCCTTTGAGCAGATTTTTGTCTAGACCTTTAGACTGAAAATTTTGCATCATCTAGCTCTTGTTATATATTTGGATTTTACTATACCAATTAAACTATACTAATTTAAAACATTACCGTTACAGATGAAGAATTAAGTGAGAAACTATATTTTTCTAGAAGAAAATATTAAATTTGCTCAAAATTGTTCAGTACTCAGGCCCGTAGGAAGCAATTACAATGGGGGGGGGGGGGGGTGCACAGCCATACATTTTCAGATAAAGGGGCACTATCAACTACCAAAAATTCCTTGACAAGCAAAAAAAAAAAAAAGGTCATCAGACGTTTTTATTGAGGAGGCACAAGCATATAGTAGCTATATTTTCTATAGTATTCAATATATCGGCAAAATTATGGGGCGGGGCACGCCCCCCCCCCCCGGTTCCATGGTACTGTTAAATTTGACCTCCTAGACTTCCATGCATACCACACTAAGAGTTATTTTGAGTTGTGAGATATTGTTTGTTGGTCCCGAATTACATACATGTATTAGATTAATTGTTATGAATTCTATTGTTGTATTTGTGACAATCATAGCAAATATATAATAAACATTCAAGAAAATTACCCCAAATTTTAGCCCAGAATTAATATATCTTTTTTGAGAGATCTAAAAAAAATTATATCATTGACCCCTGCTTTTAATTTTCGTTTCTGTATATATAAGATAACTGTGATTAGAATGCTGCAAATTCAGTAAAATCTAAAGACTTTGAAACAGTTTTATTTCTTGTTAATTTAAAAAGGCAGTTAGTGGGTGCATAGAGGTCATATCAATGATTCTGGGCAGTAATTTTGGAGCCTTTTCTTTGTCACAATTTTTAATGTATCTATCTCGTTTGGATAAGAAACATCAGAATGAAAATATCCGAAAAAGTTATTTATGTGTAAGTTGCAAATGTAGTGCTGAAAGGTCACATTAAATTAAGCTAAGTGTGTAAATATTAAAAACATACTTTACACCCCCCCCCCCCAAAAAAAAATTGCGTGCAGGATCTAACCCCCTTCAACAGGAATTTAAAAAAATCAGAAGGGCCATGCTTCTTTCTAGTAATCAAAAATAACATAATGGGCGGAGGGTCGGGGGGCATTTCATTTTTTTTCTTTCTCAGGATTCACGGAGTCAGATTGCATGAAACTTATGTAAAACATTTCTGAGAGAGTATAAACTCTAAATTGTTCTAATCATGCCCCCCCCCCCCTCGGGTAGGATGGGGTCACAATAGGGACATTAAAGTTTTACTTGTAAATATATAAGAACAAATCTTGAATATTCTTTTTTGCAAGAACAGGGTCATAAGTTGTCATGTTTAGTGGGTGTTTTTATTCAAATTATGGCTTCGGGATGCAGGCAGAGTGCAGGCAAACAATACAGGTTAAAAGTTTTACAAGTGAATAATTCGGAAAAAAATCTTTGAAGTCTTCTCAAAAAACAAGCAGGTCATGATTGGTTGTATTTATGTTCAAGCATTGTTAGTGCAGATTTATGGTCCTTTGGGTTGGGGGCCATATTATGGGATCAGTATTGGGGAAAAACATCTTTTTAAAGATTTCTTCCCAAGAACAGCAGGTCTAAGATTAATAGAATTAATATGCTAGTATCCATTATGACCCCGGGTTGTGGTCTCAATAGAGGATAAGAGTTTTATAGGGAATATGGGGAGGGGGTGTCTATAAAGATCTTCGATATATCTTAAGAATAGCAGGGCCATGATCAGACATACTAATATGCAAAAGCATCGACATGCAGGTAGTCATCATGGCCCTGGGGTGTATAGCAGGACCACACAACGGGTTCGTCAATATTGGGGGTAAACATTTTATATGGGAATATATAGAAAGTCTTTCTTCCCAGTGGGCTTGTTTAGTCATATTAATGTGCAAAAAATGAAAAATGCATTGCATATTCATGTTTGTTCGAATCATGGCCCCTGGGGCTAGGGAGGAGATTCAGTGTTTAACACTAGAATATGTAGGAAATATACAAAAAAAAAAAACAAAACAAAAAAAAAAAAAAAACAAACAAAAACAAAAACAAAAACAAAAAAAAAAACAAAAACAAAAAACAAACAAACAAACAAAAACAAAAAACTCAAGAGTAACAGGGCCCTACTAAATCATATCAACATGCAAAATCCCTCCCCTCAAGTTGTGTGGGTTCATTTTTTTTTCTCTTTCGAACTCTTTTATACCCATGCTTAAAAAAAAAACTTCGGGTATTTTTTGTTATTCTGGTTCTGTCCGTCCGTCCAGGCGCAGATCCTGGAATTTTTCCAGGGGGTGGGGTGGGATGGGGGTCCACCCCTGTCAAAAAATTTCCAACCCAGAAATTTCTTGTCAAGCCGGAAAAAAGGGATGCAGCCCCCAGATCCCCTGCCTTCTACTGCCCCCCTCCCCATTATGAAATTCTTGGATCCGCCACTGATATACGTAGTATTATGAATGAAAAGAGAATACAGTTGATCTTCAGTGGCGGATCCAGGAATTTCATAATGGGGGGGGGGGCGCAGTAGAAGGCTGGGTGTGTGCATTGAAGCCCCCAGTCAAGACCAGTGGATCCAGGGCAAAGACCTAGGGGGGGAGGGGTCCGGAAGCTGACGAATTCTTACAAATAAGAGGGGTTTTTTTTCTCTTGATTTTGGGATAATGGACATACAAGTTCTACATAAGTTCTACATACAAGTGTAAAAAAAAACAAAACAAAAAACAAAACTGATAGTACTTTTTTGAGCAGAACAAAAAAAGTTGTGAAAGTGTAGAGTATTGGAGTTGAAAAAAAAATTTATATAGTTAAATCTATATAGTTCAAATTAAATGAAAAACAGATTTTAGTTTTTGTACGAAATGGGAATATATTTTTTTCGGATTAATAAATTTTATTCGGATTGGTTTTTATAGTTTATTTTGCATCAGATAAGCGTTTGACAGAAAGAGTTATTTGCCCTTTTACAGCGGTGACACAAAATACCCAGATCTGGAACGCTTTTACATAGCAACGGAAAGGACTTGAAGAAAACTTTAGGAACATACACAATGTCTGGAGGTAAACCGTTGTCGAAAGCTGATCTTATTCAACTGGGAGAATCAAGAGAGTCTTGGTGTGCGGTTGAAATGAAAAAAGAACAAGACTGGTGTAGAAAACAGAGACAGCACTATCCGCAACAATTCAGCAGCACTGTGTTTGAGCAACAGATACCTGGATATGAGCCTCGTTGTACCTTTGAAGTAGATGCACCAACACACAGAGAGCGTAAACATTTCCCTGATAAATGTATGTATCCAAATAAAATATGAATTATTTTAAATATAATTAAAAAAGGGGGGGGGGTCTTATACTATGTATACACAGGTTAAGATCTGACAATAGCTTGAGTTTGCTACAAAGCTTACCGAGCTCTTCAAATTATTTGACTTAGCTATTAAATCGCAATGACAAATTTAATTTAAAACAAACAAAAAAGTGGTAGATCTTCCATATATCTGTGGAGGCTTCTGTTCCAAAGTCCAAATCACAACCTATTTCATTTGTGTTACCACCAATTCTATACTACAGTAACTTCATGTACACTGAACTGTGTGAAGCATAGATAGTACAACCTATTCATTTTGTTATGATTTATCCCTTTCATTATGTAAATCATGATTGGCTTTAATTTAAATATATTCCAGACCTGATTGATTGATCAGGCCTTATACTTACATACCAAAATATACTTAACTGGTAAATGTATTTTGGATTAAAGATTAGTAATTTTCTGACCATCAAATCAATATAATATATTATACTTCCAAGGTCAATGTAAAAGAACATTAAATGATACAATACACAATCTTTGATTCACTCTATCTCACACCAAAGCAATTTATGAGTAAATGAGAAAAGTTTACTTTTGCATTAATTTTGATAATACTTTGCAACTTATATTAAATATTTTTATATCTTGGCTTTGTTCTAGGTCATTTGTAGCCAGTCGGTAATGGTCATGCTAAGTCACAGTGAGAATGCAAAAATTCATTGCTTCATGTGTAGGCATTTCAGCAGAATTTCAAATGTATTACAAAATTGTGAAAAATAAATTCACATATACTTAGAGATCTATATGTATAATTTCTCTAAAAATATTTTGCAATATTGCTAATGATATAAATATATAATATGTAGTTATATACATAACGTATTCTTTACGCAAATTATGTGCATGAGGTAGAGAACTGGGGAAGGTGAAAGGAAATGGGATTTAAATTTGTAGATGGATTTATTTTACAGTGTTAATAGAACTAATTTATTAATGTATTAAAATTTGCTTGTACCGGTAATAGAGGGGGGAAAACTCAACAATAATGTATTTTTTTAATTTATTAACCATATATATGTGCTTTACCTATTTGCTTCATATTACACGCTTATCAAAATATAAACATAACACTATTATTGTAGCATGATGCTTATATAGAATAGCAAATATTGTAGTTGAACATAGTACAATAAACCAATTATTCAAATAAGTTTTTGTAAAATTTTCATAATATTGATTTAATTTCCATAAAGTTGATTGAAACAGTTTGACCCTCTGCTCACATAGATGAAATTTCTCTGTAATAATGATGATTTTTTATAATAAAAAAAATGATAATCAAATTCAGTAAACAAAATGAGATAAAATTTGAGATTTTTTTTTTTGTTGAAGATGAAAATGTGATAAATTAAAGAAAAAAAAAATGAAATTTTTCAGTATTAGAGTAAAATCTTGCAGCAGAGAGTCATCTCCCCATACATTTGATTTAGATAAATTTATTTTTTTAAAGTATGTTAATCAATTTTGCAAAGACTTAACAAGTAAAGGGATAGATGAAATATCATTGAAGTGAAATACCACCATTATTTATTCATACAAAAACTTTTTTTTTCCAGATGAATGTCAACTGAAAATCTAAATAAACCAGTTATTCTGCAACTGTGAGAAGGGAGACAATTTTTTATTATTAAATTCTGAAGAAGAAAAAGATGTTTCTATGGAATAATTACAATTTCCTTTACTATTAGAAAGCATTGGTGTTGTAAAATTAATTTTATGATGGCTATGCCTGTGAAAATGAGAATTTAACTTACATTTATCACGGCTGCATTTGCATCTTTAGATGATCATGCAATCATACTTCGCGAAGTTCATGTTAATAGAATGTTTCATTAATAAGTAATTGCTTGTGTGTATAGTAACAAAATTTAAGGAGAATCAATTTGTTCTAGTTTGTCTTATTCTAAGGAAGAAAGCATTGAAATTGTATATATAAAATATATAGCACCAGTATTATAATGATATACATTGTAGTTTTCTTTATACCAAACAGTATTACATATACATTGCACTTTACACAAGAACTTTCATAATTTTTTATTGAGTATTGTTTCTATATTTCTGATTTGTTGCTCACAATATCAAGTGTTAATAAATTATATATTTACATCCACTGAATATTTTTCTGTGTTATTTCTCATGAAAATGGATTTCTGTTTATTTGATGCAAAAAAGCACAGTTCTACACTAGTTAATATTGTTTTTTAAAGCCATCTTCAAGAAAGATTTGTCAAAGATCAACTCTTACTGTATTATGGCTCTTCCTTCAATGATTACATGTGGATCTAAATACAATATTTGATGTACTCTGCTTCCGTTCACTTATATAATTTATACAGATATAATCAGAATGGCCGTTCTTTGTTTGATTGCAATCATTGCAGAAAAAAAATTACTACCCGGTAACCTGTGGGTTATGTGTTTTTTCTGCAAAGTTGCATGCAACTGTGCAACTATTCATTCCTGTATAAAAAAAACAAAGCATTTCAAAATGAAAATCAGGACAGATTTTGTTTCTTTTTCAACATGATTAGAAAATGTATTTTGTTAATGTCTTAAACCCCTTAGCCAAACTTAATTGTAACTATTAGATAAAAAAAAAAATACTATAAATGTTTTATTTCATTTTATTATGTCTGGGTTTCCAAATATAATTTCTAAAACACAAGTCCTACAAAAATACCCTAGTATTCAGTATTCCTTCAGTTTGCTCATGCATGTACAAGTCGATCACCATAAGAAAAAGGAAAATGTCTTAAACCCAAATTGAACTTTTTAAGATACATGTAAAAAAATTATTAATAATGCAACAGTTTCTTTTTGTAAATTATTGAGGAATCATTTTAAATTCATGGAGGTTAATGTTTTTGGGCAAGCAAAATTTTTCTTGTTCATGGGGATGTAATTTTGTAGGTTACTCATTTATACGGTAGATTCAAAGAATCAATATGTTTACAAAATAAACGTTCTTGGGGATGTAAATTCGTGGGTAAGAGTAACCCACAAACATGGGTCCCCATGAACAATGATGATTCCACAGTATATGAGGAGCACAAAGGAACAGATGAGAAATAGAAAGAGTACCCATCAGGGATAGACATTGACTTTCAGATTCACTTGCCCTTTGGGCAAGTGATCTCAAACTTTGACTTGTCCGAATGCAAAACTTGGTTGCCCAAAATTAGGAAAGAATATAAGAAGAAAAAATTAATTTCTGTAAACGTTACGATAATAAAAAATGTGATCAAATACCAGCTACAAGTCAGTGAAAAACAAAATTGATGCTGCATTTGTACATAAATGTATACCACTGGACTTGTAATTTTAACCTTTTAACACACACTGCCATGCAGCAATAACCCTTTCCTTTTAATTTCCTTTTAATAAAATTCATATTTTTAAACAAATTATTTCGGTAGGCTCCTTTTGTGAATCGTGATTTTCAGAGATAACTGTGAAGCAACGCTAAAGGAAGCTATTTGCTATGAAACATACATCTTTATCTTGATCATGATACATTGAGTTACACTGTACTTACATTCTGTGCGTGAATAAATAATCTAATTCCCTAATAAGAAGTTAACAAAATTTTGTTAGATGTAGAGTGTATTTACTTCGAAGGAAAATAACAAACCCGATTTTTAAATGAATGGTATAATCCAGAAACGCTATCAAGGAATTCCGAATGCAAAACATTGTCAATAAGGTGCGTGGCGGAAATCAAGTGTTCAATTTATTGTTTTATTTATAAATTAATGTAAACTAAATAAATATGTGCACTTGTAAGAACAAAATTCACTTGCCCGATCGGACAAGTACGTCAACAATTTCACTTGCCCGAACTGAGAAATTACTTGTCCCGGGCAATCGGAAACCGTTAATGTCGATCCCTGCAATCGGAAACTGTTAATGTCGATCCCTGCCCATATGTATCCTTTTCCATGGAAAAAATTTACACCTGCATGCAATATTAATTTCAGTACATACTGAATATGAACTCTTGTGGATCTTTGCGAGAATTTTGATGAATAGAAGTATACATTCCTATGTGAGCAAACAAATTAGGTTCTATTTGATAAGCCGTGAGATTTTTGTTTGTTAAGAAATTATAAATTGCAATGTCTGTATGATGTTTGTTGTTATCATCAGCTAAATAATTGAGCAAATTCGGAATGACCCATTTTGGATAAAACATGGCTGGTGTGCAGCAACCAGGAGATATGTTTAGTGAATACAACTGAGATGCTATCCTGCGTAGCTCAAGAACATTTTGTCGATCTAACAACAGTGCAAAAATTATAAAATATATAGCACCAAATACAAAGTATAAATACTGCGTAAGTATCTTTTTCCTAATAGCAAAAATCAAAAAGCACCCTCCCCCTACCATTCCAATAGCTATCACTTCTAGAATTCTTCTCATTTCATTTGCAAAACCTTGCCATTTAGGAGGATAGTATAACTTAATAAAAGCAAAGTTTTTCATAGGTTCACTTTTGAATAAGGTTAACCATCTTAACTTTGTGTTCACTACATCCAGAGCCATTGGAAGAGGAAGTGTGTCATCTTCCATTAGTAACACATAATCAGGATTCATAGAATGTGCCATTTCTAAGCAAAACATGTAGTCTATGGTTTCTTTTTGGTAAGTATCAAAATTTTTCTGAAGATGATATAGCACCTTGTGAGGACTGTTGTGATGTACTCCTGTAGAATTTTTAAAGCGATATTGGACAGGTATGAATTTCTCTAGCTTCCTTGCTTCCTCATGTCCATACAGATTCTGATCAACATTGCAAATGAACATGAATTTTCTTTCAAAATTCCTATCTTCCTTTAGTAATCTATCCATTTTTGCGACTGACTGGGTGAGGTACCCAAGAGTTCCATCCTTTCTCTTGACAGTAATAATAGCCACAACTAGGTCAAGGTGACCTGACTTTTTCATGTCGAGATAGAATTGTTTTGATGACTTGGAATGCAGTGAGGAAAAATAGGCAAGGGATTTCTTGTATCGCTCTGCATTGAGAAGTTCCGCTTTCTTGGAAATGTCATCCTTATTGCTATAAAGGTAGTAGAATTTTGAAAAAGGCAGTCTTATACACAGTGGAGGTAATATCAACGTAAAGGTTATAACAAACAAGAGAACTAGCCACAGGAGTGTGTGTAGAGACTTCATCACCAAATCTCTGCATTCCTAGGATTGCCTAGAAAGAAGAAATGAAAAATAACAAATCTAGCTTAAATTTATATGTGGTCTTGAGCTCTACTTACTATTGACAACCAAAATGAATTGACGAACTGACACCAGGGACCTATACCTGTAGTTATAAACGTCCATGCTGACACGACAAGCTATTTTCTTTTTTAATAAACCAAATTTTTTTAAAGCAATCTTTACTTTACTAGTGCATTTTCAATAACATGTATTTATATGCAAATATTTAATTTATCCAAACAATGAACACCCATATGTTCTTCACTCTGAGGTGTTTTCAACATCTGGACTGCCAAGAATGCACCCAAAGTAAATAGATCGGGTACGATATTTCAATTTTTCTAAAAGGGTTCTGCTAATAAGGGGGGGGGGGGGGGAGTGACACCAATCTTGATTGCATCATCTCGGGTCTTTCCGTAAGAGGTTGGTCTGCTGTACGGAAAGGCCCGAGAAGTTGCGATTGGGGTGACACATTGTTTGTTGGATAGTAAAACATCACTCAGCTGTTATAGACAAGTTTCGATGGGAACTAGCTTCGTTATTTAAAATTAGTATGAAGTTATTGAATAATATATTCTTTAATTCACAATGTATATATATTTGGGGTAATTATTTTTTTTTACTAAGTTTATTAATTGTTCCTTAATTAAGGCTTATAATATTTGTATGTCACGCTTAACCCGACTTAATGGCTAGCGACCTATAGAAGAGTCTGTCAAAATATATCTTAACAGGTGGAGAGACAGTATCTTTATTGAAGTATGGTTTCGAAACTTTTTTCCGTTATAATTAGCAGTTTATAAAAAGTCAATTTTCAAGCTTGGTCAGGGCTAGTGATTTTATGGTCAGGGCTAGTAAAAATTATTGGAAGTAGCCCGACTGGTCTAGTACTCATAAAAGTTAATGTCAAACCCTGGTTAACGAATGTAAATTATAGGGCGAATTTGTTTCTCAAAAACTGGTTTTAGTTTTGAACCAGTTTTGTAAACTGTTCATTTGTTCCACAAACTGGTTTTAAACTAGTTTAAACCCAGAACCGGTTTTCTATTTGTTTCTGCAGTAACTGAAACCAGCTCGTTAAACCAACCAAACCACCTCCGATGGTGGTTTATTCGGTTTACGAAAGAGCGGGAAGTATTCCAGTATGGCGGTGATGAAAGGTGGTGACTATTTTAATAAAGAAAAAAGTTATAAATGATTGTTTTTTCGAGGACAAACAACTCTTTTTGACTTTAATGCCACATTCTGATGTTTTATAGAAGGCTTCAGAGAATAGATAAATGCTGCATGGTGTTTGTTCAATGATAATGAACAGAAAATGTTAAATTTTCCTTTTCAAAAATGTTTTGAATCATTTGGACAAACTTTAACATGTATGGTAAATTGTAGAACTTACTGTAAAGACGGTTTTATTGTTGGAAATCTAAAGAGTAGTATTATAAATACCTGAGTTTTTATATTTCCATGTGTTAAAAATGTGGAAATTGATCATTTGATGAATCTTTGAGGCATTATAAATATAAATACTGCATTTTAAGTAAGATAAACAAGGAACAAAAAAAACTATAATTTCTTGGATTCTTTTATAAAGAAAAAGCTTTTAACTTTATTTGCATGTGTAATTTGGTTAATATGTTCTAGCTCTTCATATTAAGGTTCCTACATTGTAAATGCATATGAAAAACATCATAAAATTCTTGCTATTCTATCTCTTTTTTTCATCAGCAGCATTATTTCCGCTTTAAATTTCCAATTAACAATTAACATGATTAATATTAATATAATTAATCATGCATGCATCTTTTAGATGCCATCTTGTATAAACTGTTCATTTGTTTTACCAAGGTAAACCGGATCGAAACTTATAACCAGTTTAAAAACTAGTTTTAAACCTTAAACCAAAACCTGAACTAGTTTAGATGCAACAAATTCGCCCATAGTCTACAAATTAGAATTTATATTTATCAGTAAAATCTATTGTTCACGTTTATTTACAGACAAATAAACTTAGATCAACATTCGTAAACTACACTTTACAACCGTTTAATATATGTAGTTTACAGATGAAAATAGTTAACGAATCGTTAACTACAGTTTACAGTTCGGATAAACTATGGTTTACAATCAACAAACCTAGTTTATCAACTGTTAAACTATGTTTATCTAATTTTTGTGAATTTGGCGTGCGATATATATAGTATATTGTAATTTTCATCACAACATGTTCTACATTAAAATATTTTTTTCATTACTATGAAATAATTTTACATGTTTATAATGGTTAACATTAATTTTATGAGGTAATAATAATGTAAGATGTTTCACGACAATTTTAGCGAAACATCCTGGGGCGAACCATCTAGGACGAAACAGAATCGGCGCGATTAAACTTGGTTTTTCTTGACTGAAAGTGTCAGAATCTTTATTTTTACAACTTTTAACTGTATTTAAAGTAGATTTAAAATCTTTTAAAATGTATTTTACATTTAACAATCCAGAAGACTTAAGCACTACATTAAAATATTTTTTTTTCATTACTATGAAATAATTTTAAATGTTTATAATGGTTAACATAAATTTTACAAGGTAATGATAATGTGAGATGTTTCACGCCGATTTTAGCGAAACGTCTTCGGGCGAACCATCTAGGGTGAAACAGAATCGGCCACTCGGCACACCTCGGCCGAGGGTACCGTAGTCAGCCGAGGTGAGCCGAATAAGAATCGGCGCAAAATAGCCTGGTTCCCTGGCTCATCCTTGCCAAGGCAGGTGACGTGGAGTACACGAAGCAAAACAGGGACAGGGAACCAGGCTACGACGCAAAACATCCCACTCGGAGCTCCTCGGGTGGCTCGTACCTCGCACACTAACGAATGGAGCGTTGCGGAGTCAGCCGAGGATTGCCGATTGGAAACATGCCGGATTCATAAGGGGGGGGGGGACACTTCTAAAATTGAACCAAAAATTTACCTCTTATGGTAAATGTATCGCTGTACAAAATATCTTTATACTTTATCAAGGGTTTAAGAAAAATTACGAAAGCTATTAGGATCAAACTACGGTAAAAAAAAAAAAAAGTTAAAAGGCGTTACAAGTAATGGCTTTTCAAAAAGCTTGCCTGACTAATCAATCAATATCTATGGAACGTATAAGCAAGAGAGGTGCTAAACGTTTCCGTCATCAAGGAGCGACATAGTTGCGATACTTCATTACACCATGTACAATTGACTTTCTCAAATCTCATAACCAAATACTACATTAACGAATATCTAAGACATGCCACTGTTCAATCATTTATTAGTTAGCCCACGGGCTGACAAGTTACGTTGGGGTGAAACTCTAAGTGCGCTAGCGTAGATTATAATTTTGGGAAAAATAGTTAGATGATTCTAAAGAAATTCATATTACATGTACTCTCTTACTAGAGGGCGCGCTTCTCTGGTCAGTGATAGATTGATGAGACGGCCTCTTTTTATAGACTGGTCTGTTTTCCGTCGTTCTCGACGTCGAAGTAAAATATGAACAGTTTTACTGCTGCTGCTCTAGAACTCAAAGTAAATGGACTGTACACTTTATAACTTGAGCAAACCAAGAACTAATAACCCCCCCCCCCGGACGAAACTCACGCGCTGATGGTCTTACCATATACATGTATTATAAATGAGTTTAAAAATACATGCATCTTTATGGGTAGTTTTAAAATTGTTTAGTTTTTCTTTTCAATCGATTGTTTAGTTTTTCTTTTCAATCGATTTCAGGACCTTTCTCATAATTAAAATAACGTGCTTTTATATGAAATGAAAACTAGTACAGATCATGATGTCTTCTGCATTTTGCCGATTCTTTGCTTAGAACATTAGGGGAGTTAAGACCATTACTCTATGGGTACTGACCTACACTTGTCACTATCCTTGCATGTTCATCACAAAGAATGAAATAATATATGCTACTGGCTGACTTTCTAAGCTTTTTAAAAACCTAACCTTGTAACGTACTTTATTAATAAAAGGTGGAAAACAGACTGAATCAAGAAGGGATGTCCCATTTACAAGGTCGAGCGAGTTTGTTTATGATTGGATTAGTTCACTTATGGGATAAATAGTAAGAATAATCAGCAAGTCCATTGCTTTAGCAGTGTTTAGTGTTGCCTGCCCATATACAATGTGTTCTTTTAAAAATGAGATAAAATTTACTGTTAATAAAAAATCTGAAGCTTAAGAATCAGGTTAAAAGAATAAACGTTATTTATTTCCATACAAGTTATCACACTCATTCAATAGAACAATCCAAGATAATTTACGTGACATTTGGCGCGAAATGATTGTGTCACCCCTTTCGTGTAAGGAAAATGGACTGATACAGTAGTTTAGAAATGCACAAAAATGTTACGCGGACATGCCCGCCTTTTGGAAAGGCGTAATAACGCCTTTTGGAAAGGAGTAATAACGCCTTTTAGAAAGCGTAATAACGCCTTTGGAAAGGCGTTATAACGCCTTTATTTGCGTTATTACATCTTTTTCCGCGTTATAACGCAACTTAAAAAGGCATTATAACGCCTTTTTATTTTATTTTTTTACCGTAGTTTGATCCTAATAGGCTTTCGTAAAAAATAAACATTAATTTTTACTACAATAAAAAAAAGCTTGGTATTAAGGATGTACAACATACCTACCCCAAAAATTCCCTGTCGTTTAATTTTCGCTATTTTTGTATATCTTATACATGACAATATCTGCTATGTGTATGTACATTTTGGTCAAAATCGTTCGAGCCGAATCTGGACAGGAAGTTCCTAAAGTTACCCCCCTTTGCCTGATCACGAGAACAAAAAATTTCAACTAACTAGCTATAAAATCCCGTATTTTTAAATATTTAAGGTTAGCCTAGCTGTCAAAATTTGCTGAATCGTTCGCATAACTATTAAACACACAAACAAAGTGAATTTGTAGAGGTACACTTCGAGAAAAACGATTTTGAAGAATTTAAATTGAAAAACTATGGTTCATTTTTGCATTGAAAAATGCGTGATTTTCAAATGAAATATTTTTTTATGAAAAAATCTGTCGTTTAATTTTGAAAAAAATAATTACTTCTTGTAACTGATGATCAAAATGTTCTTGATAATTTTTTAAAAAAATATTAAACGACGCGTTTTGAATTTATAGCGGAAAATCTCCCCTCCCCCTCTCTCCGTAAGTTACCTTTCTCACAGCGTCTTTCAGACTTGGGACGAAAGCAATGCTATGAATCTACAAATACACATAAAAATTCCTAGCTGGAAAATATCTTTTACTTAAAAAATGTAATGTACATT